ATACTAATAAATATAAACGTATCTGACCTATATAAAAACCTATGTCACGTCACGCTTGATTTCTCTTGACTAGCGTATAGCCTGTCAAAAATTAAAGGGCAAGTACTACCAACCCCACCCAATAGTATACCCTAACCTCACATTTCTTAGCTAACTGAAATAAAGAAATTTAGCAAAATCAAGCTTGACGAACAATAAAGCAGACAACCTATATAAAATCCAGCGTGTTTTACGTCACATCACGCTTTATTTCTCGAAGTAGAAAGAACCATAAAAGCTAATTGCATTTATCCAGATGAATAGTTAGGTTACTGTCTGCCCATTACGATTTCAGTGACGGGGGTGCTAGGGGGACGTGTGGGGGGATGACGTGAAACCTTACAAGTGTAGTGACTGTTGGTATAATAAGCCTAAAGTAAGGACGTAGTGTGGGATCACCTTGCCTAGAGCCAAGCGCATAAAATTTATCATGAAAGTAAAAATATCGATTTAATTTTACACTTAAATCGTTTCTGAATTAAGCTCTTTTCTGTTATATCACCAATGATTTTTAATAAAAAAACAAACCTCTTTAATCATTGGAAATTAATTTAAGAAATCAACAAATATTTTTCCAGTTTTGTTGCCTATACATTTCATTTTATACTTTCAGTACATAGACTAACAACAAAAGTAGTTATACTTTTGTTGCTAAGCAACGTAACATAAAAGCCATTATTGGAACGTTATGTTACCAAAACGCACTGGATTTTCTATGTATTAGAAGTTTGTAATCTAACTGATTTTTGCCAATACTTAAACTATGAATACGCCACAAATTCATTTCATGAATGATCTTAATTTGGTTGGCAGTCTTTGTTGGTCGAGCTTGATTTCGCAAAATTTCTTTATTTCAGTTAGCTATAAAATATGAGGTTAGGGTATACTATTGGGTGGGAGTACTTGCCCCGATATTTCTGACGGGCTATACGCTAGTATATAAGAACAGAGACTAAATAAACGGATAAATCCACTTTTAATCAATAATAACTAACATAGAGTAAGCCCCCCCCCCCCCAGTGACACAGTGGTATGTCTGCGGACTTACAACCCTAGAAACCGGGTTTCGATACCCGTGGTAGGCAGAGCAAGGATAGCTCATTGTGTAGCTTTGTGCTTAATTCCAAAGAAACACAAAAACACAGAGTAAAAAATATATAATTATTGAACTTAAGCTGTTGGTCTTTTTATCGTTTGGAAGATATGTTTATTTTACCACTTAATTTATGTAGTCAACCTTCTATATATTACTCTGATTGGAATGTAAAGTCACACAAAGATTCATTGGATTTACAGTGATATATATTATGAACATTTCGGGATATTTTATGTTATTCAAAGTAATTTGAAATATTTTATTACTAGCCTTCAGGTATTCTACAACGTTTGTTTCTTCGCTGTTATTAAACAAAAATATTTCGTGGCTTCTTCTTTTTTTCTTCTAAGCGTACAATTGAAGTGTATATTATGATAAGTTGAACATTATCATTGTGGATCACAGCATTTCAGTATTCTTAGTATACACACTAAACTTAAAGAATAATAACATAGCAAAACGTCGCCCAAGCATGAGCCATTTCCTTCATGTTAATTTATGCGTACGCTATTATACAAAACCTGTTTGTACAAATACATAATTATCCTGTGAATTATATTTTTGAACACTGAGCGTTCTTTTGTGTTGCAGTAATTTAGATATATTACTATTAAACAATTAACCCTCCATTGTTGGTAGTTTTAGCATCTGGTTCTCCCAGGCCTTTATTTAATTAGAGTTCATCCCCAACAGTAACCGCCTTCCTGTAATTTTTCTAACGAAAAAAAGCCCTAACCAATAAGTGAACATTTAAAAAGCTTGACGTAACTGTTGTATGGAGATTTGGAGTCTCTGTACAATACTCATAAAACTAAACAAAGCTACAGTCAACTTTAACAAAGTTTATTGTCTGACTTAAACTAAATTTAGGCTAAATGAATGTAGACCTCTTACATAATCACTTAGTTTTAGGCTTAATTATAAACGTCTGTTCATGAATGTTTTTTATTGTTGTTGCTTTCTAATACATCACCACCCATAACCTCAGTAGGCATAGAAGCTCACCTCATTTCTTTGCATTTTTTAACTACACAACTTCCTGTATAAACTTGGGTTTACTTACACCAAATATTCTTTCCAGTATAGCATTTGATCCATTACTTTAGCACTAACAGCTACTGCCATCTCGAACACAATATGAATAAAGTACATGACTATTTAAAACGTTCCAAAAAGTAAATGTGCAGCACATAAAATATCCAGTCAGCAAACACCACATACTGTCAGTCTTTAAATATTATACCATTATCAGTACTTACAGTGTTATCTTTTTCTCCTTTTTTTTTTCTTTTCTGGATGAATCCTATGTTGCCGTTACAGATACTTTAACCGAAAGGTCGAAGTTCGACATGGACTGAATGTTCAATTATTGGGTTGAAGTGGTTAAGATAAGCTCTAAAATTGCCTTACTGAGTCTCAAGCCAGTAAATTCATAAATAATCGCTAGATTGCTTCATAAAGTCTTACCCATAACTGTATGGAAAATTTGCTTAATCAATAACGTTTTTTACACACATATACAAATACTTACACAGTTATGTAAACTAGAAACATCAGGCCAAGAAAAAGGAACCAGCGAGGACGGAACAACAAAAATGTATATTGGCTTTTAAGATATTTGCAGAAGTCGGATCTACATAAAGTAGGGATACTAATTTGTTTTATTGTTAAGTTAGTCACGTGGTTGTTGACTGGCATATATATATATATATATATATATATATATATATATATATG